ATCATCATCATCATCATCATCATCATCATCATCATCATCATAGTCATCATCATCAGCAGCATCAGCATCAGCATCATCACCACCCTTACCACCATCATCATTATCATCAGCATCATCATCAGCATCAGTATCATCACCATCCTCATCCTCATCCTTATCACCATCATGATCAGCAGTAGCAGCATCATCGTCATCACCACCATCATATTCGTCATCATCACAACACCACCATCAGCACCATCATCATCATCACCATCATCATCATGATGATCAGGCGCATCGCCATCATCGCCGCCATCGAAAGCACCAATCATGTTGAGACTGTTCGCTCCTAGATGCTCGCACGCCATCCAACACGAATGCCCCACTCCCTCTGTAACCGCCCTCTTCGTCTTCGATCGTACCCCCTTGGGGGTATGTCTTCCTTACCTGCCACGCGTGTTTAGCTCAACCCTTAAAACAAGCGAAGGGAGGACGGATGGAAGGGAGAGGGGAAAGGATGGAGCACGAGAGAGATTAGCAGGGGGGGGGCTAGGAGGAGAAAACAAGTGGCAGAAACAGACGGGCAGATCGAGCGGGTAGACCCTGACGGGCGGGTCGGCAAGGCGGGCCTGCGCGGCCGGGTCGAGCAGGCGGGTTGCTGAAGCATGCCTAAAAGCTCCCGGAAGGTGTTGGGGGGGCATGTTGGGAGCCCACCCCCCCACAAGAGTGCCCCGCGACCCGTCGTGGCACCCTGTTGGAGCGCGCGCGAGAGGCACGATGCGTAGCATGTGACGGGAATGTTGTCCAGCATGCGGTTCTCTCAAGAGTTGAGAGCGCGCGCGCAGACCTTTTTTTGAAAACTGGTGCCGCAGAACGTTGGTCTCATGTGTTCGGGGAATTCGGCTTTGAAATCCTGTCGAGGCCGAAGGTTTCCGAAGGATTCTGGCATGCATGCGCTCGACGGCGCGCGCGTGCGCAATTCGTCCCATTCGTTAAAAGAGATGGTCGAAAGCTATTGATGTTTGATAAGCGAGTGCGCGCGCATTATATTTTGTCCGGAAAGATGAGGGTTGGGGGGGGGAGGTAGAACGGGATGGTAAGAACTTGTCTTTAAGTCGGGGGGGAGGTAGATCCCGATACTCTCTTAGAAAAGGAGAGAAACGAGACTGTGCAATCTATGTGGTGCAACCCATGTAGTGCAATCATTCTATGTGGCGCAAGTATGCGAGGCGGCGACGGGGCGGCGACTGCGACAACATAGCCGCCAGACCGACAGTCAGGCCCAACTCCTCCCTCCTCCCTCCTCCCGACGGGCGGCGACGAGGCGGCGACGGGGCGGCGACGGCGGCAACATAGCCGCCAGACCGACGCACGGGCCCAGACGATGGCCAGCGGCGAGGCGGCTGCGGGGCGGCGACGGCGGCAGCACAGCCGCCAGATCGACGCACAGGCCCAGTTCCCTAGGTTGGAAATATCGGGAGCGGCAAAGAGGGGGGCGTCCAAGAGGGGGGGGTGCAAATCATGGCTGGCGGCACGTGCGCAGCCCAGGGGGGGCCAGGGACGTAATGAAATAAGAAGAGGCGCCATGAAATCTGGGGAAATACCATGGCCCACGCCATGATATCCATCCCCCCCCTAGTCATCACCCCCCTCTTTGCCGCCCCCGATGTTTTGGGGAAAAAACTTCCCCCGAATAGGGGCCGAGAGGCCTACAGGCCCCACGAGATGCAAGGACACGGTGTCGGGGATCTGGGTGGTTGTCGTTGTCGTCCCGCGGGCGATGCACGAGTCATAGCAAGCCACTGCGCAGATCGAGCACAGAGGATGAAGAATGCCAAACAAAATGGGTATAGAAAGGCCTGGCGAAGAAAAATATTCCCGGGCCCGGTTCTCCAGGGCACAGTAGGCGTGGGCGGGGGGCCCTCCCAGGGCCCCCCGCGGCCGGCGCGGGCGCGGGTCCGCAGGGCGCGCTCGCCGAGTGCCCCAGGGGTCCCATCGGACTCGGGGACCCCCGGGGCCCCGCCCGCAGAGGAGGAGGTGGGAATGGGAAAGTTGCGGGGGCTTGGAAGTTGTCGCCATCGCCGTTGACTCCTCTCCTGTCCCAGGAGCAATCCCCCTCATGGCCCAGAGGAAAAAACCCTCGCCCCCCAGGGCTGAAACGACATCGCCGACGCGACACACTAGTAACAAAACACCAAGCGCCGTTAACAAAACACCAAGCGCCGCATCAAAACAACAAGCACGCAGTTGGCAAAATGAGCACATGCGCACTGCTTGTGGCATCGAGCGCCGCGGCGCCTGTTGGCCAAAAAAACATTGGCAGCGACGACGGCGCAGACGACCCAGGGCGCGGCGCGCTCGGGCTGCGGGCCTGCATGACTCGCGCACCTCTCCTGTAGCGACGCCAACGCCATCGGGCAACTACAGTTTTACTTGCGCGGCGTCGGGGCGCGACGAGCGCGCGGCCCCTCGCTGCGACGTTGCGCGCGCGAGTTTTTTTGCGCTGTTCTGCCTGGACCAACCGTCATATACGCACGATGCGGCGCGACATGTTCGCGCGGGATTTCGGCGCCGTTGCCGAGCGACGGCCGCGGGGGGTAAACCCGACGAACGCATGGGGCGCGCTGGGAGCATATCCCGCTGCTCAGTTGGTCATAACAAGCCAGCTAAGCATAAAAAAACAATCAGCATCGCACCATAACGGAGCAGCACAACTCAACAAAACAACCAACTAAGACGACTGGTTTGCGAGAGCCCCATTTTGAAAAAGCATCGCCCTCCATCCGCGCAACAACTGTTGCCAACTTTTAAAACGAATGTCCGCGGCGCCAGCGCGAGAGCTTCATTTTGAAAAAGTACCGCCCTCGATCAGTGATCTGCGCAACTGTTGCCAACTTTCAAGACGAATGCCCTCGACGCCAACGCGGGAGCCCCATTTTGGAAAAGTACCGCCCTCAATCCGTGTAAGTGTTCGTCGTCGTCGTCGTCGTCGTCGTCGTCGTCGTCGTCGTCGTCGTCGTCGTCGTCGTCGTCGTCGTCCCTGTCGCCCTCCCCCACCCTCCCCTCCCCCTCTCCTCCTCTTCTCCAGGGGCCGAGCGGGCGGGCGCGGAGTCGCCAGGCGCCGCGGCCCAGCTCACGCGGGGCGCCTCGCCTCGACGTCCTGGGGGGACCCAGGCCGCCAGCTCCACCACAGGTCCAGGCCCTCCTCATCCCTGAAGAACTCGGCCTATGGAGCCGACGGCGGCGGCGGCGACGACGACGACGACGACGATGGACGACGGCAGCGACGACGACGACGATCACGACGACGATCGGCGACGACGACGACGATCGACGATCGACGATCGACGACGGCGGCGACGACGACCCAATGCCTGGTCGATCCAGGAGCCCCACAGCCCGTTGTAGTGCGCCTCAGCAGCTCGCCGCCCCTCGGGCAGCCCGACCTGCTGGAGGCGCACGTTGAGGCGCTCGAACCTCAATCGGGCCTCGCACCAGCACATCCACAGGTCAACCAAGGACTGCTCGTACTCGCGCGACGCCGCCACCAGCTCGGGCGAGCGCAACGGCGACGTTGGCGACGGCGGCGTCGGCGACGGCGGCGACGGCGGCGACGGCGGCAGCTGCGTGGACTGCTCGCCACCGCCACCGCCACGCGACGGCGTCGGCGACGGCGGCAGGGGCGCCCCGCCGTCGCCGCTCGTCGCGAGCTGCCCCTCCGCGCCGCTAAGCTGCACCTCCGCGCCGCTGAGCTGCACCCTCGCGCCGCTGAGCTGCACCTCCGCGCCGCTGAGCTGCACCTCCGCGCCGCTGAGCTGCACCTCCGCGCCGCTGAGCTGCCCCTCCGCGCCGCTGAGCTGCTCCCCCCTCTCGTCGGCCCGCCGCGGGCGCTTCGGCGGAGGGAACGAAGGCTGCCGAGGGACAAGGCGCGCGGCCCTAAGGGCCTCGGACTCGGGCACGGGCGCCGCCTCAGCAGCGGCCTTGGGCACGGGCGCCGCCTCAAGGCTGCCCCCAAAGCGGGCGACCCGCGGGGGTGGAACCATGCGCGGCGGCGCCGCCGCGCGCACAGCTGGGCGGACGCCACTGGCGTACGCATGGGGCGGCAGCATCGGCATCGGCTCGAGGAGGCGCGAGCCCCGCGGGGGCCCGACCCCTGAGCCCTGAGCCAAGGCAGGCTACTCAATGCTCATGTTGGGAACCCGCCCGGGCGAAAAGGCCCTTTCGCTCGATGCATCCTCACGGGCAGCCCTTTCGCTCGATACATCCTCATGGGCGGCCCTTTCGCTCGATACATCCTCGGCTCCTCAAGCGCGGCCGCGGCTGGATTCGCTTCGATATCCTGACCCGCCGCCGCCGTCGCCGTCGCCGTCGTCGCGGTCGTCGTGATCGTCGTGATCGTCGTCCTCGTCGTCGTCGCCGCCGCCGCCGCCGTCGCCGCCCCCGTCGCTGTGGCCGAGGCCGTCGCCGTCGCGCCCGCCGCCGCCGCCGCCGCCGTCGCCTCCGCCACCGACGTTGTCGTCATCGTCATCGTCGTCTTCGTCGTCGTCGTCGCGATCCGCGATCGTCATCGCCGTCGTCGTCATCGGTTCCGCCGTGGAAGGCGACGCGCACGACGACGACGACGACGTGCACGACGACGACGACGGCGGCGGCGACGACGGCGGCGGCGGCGGCGACGGCGACGGCGACGGCGACGGCGACGGCGACGACGACGACGACGACGGCGGCGGCGGCGACGACGTCTGGGCCCCGCGGTCGGGTCAATATTTCGAAGCGGATCCAGCCGCGGCCGCGCCGTGGCCGCGGGCAACGAGGAGGCCCCATGAGGCCAGGAAAACAAAAACAAGCGAGCAGCGATGGCGACGGCGGCGTCGAAGACGACGGCGACGACGACGTCGACGAACGACGGGGGCGGCGGCGGTTTTCACCAAAGCTGCTTTCGTAGCGGGTCGACGGCCGCTCGGTCGGCACCTGCCCTCGCACTCATACAACCGTATAACCAGACATACACGCTGCATTGAGTTTCCTGGCTTGGGCCAGGTGCCGTCACTGAAAGAAAACAAACTGAGCGGGGCCGAGGCATCCCCGTGGACCACCCCAAGCCCGTGGGAGGACGCCTGGCTGGCTGGTTATCTGGCTGGCCGCGGCCTGGGGCGCCCACCTGGAGGCAAAAGCCTCGGTGGCCCTCAACTTGGCCTTCTTCTGCGGGGTCACGAAGCCGATGTCGGTGAAGAAGTCGTCGTCCGTGTCCAAGCTGCTCAGCTGGCGGCGAAGGGGCAAGTCCTCGTAGGTATCGTCGGTGGCGCCGTCCCTGATGATCAAGTCCAAGTGCGGCACGTTGTAACTGAACGTGAACTTGTGGCCCATGAACGAGACCTCAGTGGACCACTTGGAGCTCCCGACCTCGTGCGTGGCGATCTCATCCTCGATCTTCTTGGCCGCCTTCTTGCGCTTCTTGGCGCCCTGCGGGTCCTCGGGAGCTGCCTCTGTCTTCGGTTGAACCTTGATCGGCTTCACGAGCCAGCCGACGCACAAGTCGGACTTGCCATACTGCTGCACGGCAGTGCCGTCCACGAAGAGGCTCAATCCGTGGGAGCTGCCCAGGTACATGACGTTGCTGCGGATCACATTCTGGGCGACGTCGGCCGTCACCACGCGGCCCCAGATGTTGAGGCGGGTCGCAACCTTCCCAGTCTGCACGACGTCGCCGAGTTTGACCCCGCCCGCCTTCGTGGGGGCCAAGTTGACGCTGATCCTGTCCAAGCCGTTTCCATGGGCACTCGGCCCGCCCATCGATGTGTCGAGGAAGTGCTGGGTCAGCCGAGCCACCTCATCGTCGCCGTTCGGCGACAGCCCCGACGACGACGACGACGACGGCGACGACGGCGACGACAACGACGTCGACGCACGAGCGTCAGCCAGTCGGGATCAGTCGAGCTGGCGGCTGGCGGCGGCGGCGACGACGGCGACCGACGACGACGACGACCGCCACCGACCGCCGAGGAGACGGGAGGGGAGCCCACGGAAGCTCGACTCCTGATCCGAAACGCGACCGATGATGGGCGCTAAGTAAGTAACCACAATTTTCTTGACGGTGGTGAGCAATCCGACGGCATCCTTCTTGTGCAGGATTGTCTGCACGGACTCCTCGCCGCCCTCCTCGTGCAACGCCGCCAACCAGAGCTTCTCGGGGGTGCTCGGCTCGAGCTCGGGCTTCGCCGCGCCTGCTGTCTTAGTAGTGGTGCCGTCGCCGCCAACCGCCTTCACCAACGCAGTGGTCGCCTCGGGTGGCGGCCTCACTCGGTCCATCAGCCTGGACCCGAACACCTGCGTGCACTCGCCCGCATTGCGCAAGGCCTCTGCCAAGACGTGGTTCGGATTCGCCTTCCCGACGACCGCGTTGCAAAGGCTATCGAGGGAGCTCATCTTCTGGTTGGGGAACATGGTGAGGTTCACCTTCGGCAGCCCAGCCTCCGCGATCCGACTCTCCAGGTCCTTGTTGCTGAGCCTGCTGTGGCCGTTGATGAAGGCGACCTGGCCGCGCGCTGCCCTCCTCGGGTCCCCCATCGGGCCGACCCCCCCACACTGGGCTCACTCAGGGCCCCTGTCGGCTGTCCGAGACAACCCCATCGCCCCCGGCCTTCCCTCGGGCCCTCGGAGCGGCACGAAACCACCAAAAACGCTCTTGCCCACTAAAGCGTCGTCGTCGTCGTCGTCGTCGTCGCCATCGTCATCGTCATCAGCATCATCGTCATCATCATCATCATCATGATCATCATCATCGCCATCGTCGTCGTCGTCGTCGTCGTCGTCGTCGTCCGTCGTCCGTCGTCGTCGTCGTCGTCGTCGTCGTCGTCGTCGTCGTCGTCGTCGTCGTCGTCGTCGTCGTCGTCCCCCTCCTCCTCCCACTGACCTTCATGTGGGAGAGCTCGCTGTAGGGGTGGTCCTTGACGACCTGGCCGCACTTGATAAGCTCCTCTCCGAGTTGGCCGAAGAACGCGCCCAGCGTCATCGTCGGGTTCGTCTCGAGGGCCGCCACGAGCGCGCTCGCCGACTGCGAAGAGGCCGCCGCATGCTGCTTGCACTCCTCGAGGAGGGCTCCCACGAGCGCAGCTGTCGGCGCGTCCATGTACGAGCGGACGTCGTCGGGGGCCCCGCTGTCGGCGGGCCACCTGAAGGACATCGCGCCGATGTTCTTGATGATGCTCAGCCCGTACAGCATGCGCATGTTCTGCAGCTGCATGACGGACGCGGCCGCCTGGACCTCGCAGAACTTCTGGACCGCCTCGCTCGTCGAGGGAACGAACGCGTCCTTTGTCGCAGCCAGGTTGGACAGCTCTGCCAACTCCTCAGGGGGTGTGCCAACGCACCCTCACGGCGCACGCGCCGCGGCCCTCCTGAGGCCGCCCTGAAGCCCTCCCAAAGCACCTCAAAAGACTCGAAAAGGCTCAAGATGGCTCCAAGATGGTTCTGAGGGCGCAACGCGACCCATTCAACCATGCCCCCAAGCAGCGCCATGGTAACCATGGTAGCTCCGCGAGGGCCCCCGCGGAGACCCGCGAGGCCCTAGGACGATTAGAGTTTGAATTATGGTTAACAGTTATAGTTAAAGATACCTTATGAGTTAGAATTAGAATTAGAGAGTTATAGTTAGAGTTAGAGTTGGGCGCATCTCGGACGCGAGTGGCCCCCCAGCAACAGAAGTCAGCTCCTATATGGGGGCTTCGGGAGAGCCCCGAGAGGCCCCGCGAGGGCCGCGCAGGGGGGGGGGGGCCCAAGAGGGCCCACGAGGCGAAGAAAGCCGCCAGTCAGCTCCGAGGGCACCCAGGATGGCCCCATCGGATGCTTTCGTGGGCCCTCATAGGGCCATCTTGGGTTTCTTGGCCCCGCTCGTCGTCTCAGGGTGGCTCAATCCTTGTAGATGCGCAGCTCGTCGGCAGAATAGATCGCCTCGGTCTCGGCGGCCGCGTGCTTCACGATGATGCCCATCACGGACCCCAGAGTGAGCGCGGTGGCGGGGAGCGAGTTCACCTCATTCATCGACGCCATCATGGCCTGGCTGGTGCCCCTCGCAGCGACCATGTGGCCGACGATGTCGATCTTGGGAGAGTTCTGCTTCAAAGTCTCGGACATCTTCGCCATGGCCGAGATGACCTCGGTCGCCTTCAGCATGGCGATCGCGTCGCCCTCGGAACACTTCGTCAGGTCGCGACCCTCGGTGACCAGGTCGCCGATCACGCCAGCCTCGTCCTCGTCGCCGTCCGAAAGCAAGTCGGGGTCGTCGGCAGGGGGCAGCTCCGCGCACTTCGCGAAGGCGTACTTCTTCAAGCACTTGCGTAGGCTCGACCAGCCCGAGATGCTCTTGAGCGAGCCCTTGACCGTCAGCTTGATGCTGCCACTCAGAAACCCGACCAGGCAGATGTTGTACACCAGGTGGACCTCCTTCGGCGGCATGCGAAGCTTCGTCTCGAACAGCTGGCACAACTTCAAGGCATGGCCCTCGAGGGTGTCACCCGTGCACACGTCCTCTGGGAGCACGTCGGCGGTCTTGGACTTCTTGGCAGCAGCTGGCTTGGAGGCGACCTTGCCGTTCGCCTTGGCCTTCTCATCTGCCTTCTTGGCCTTCTCGAGTTCCTTCTGCGCTCTAGCCAATGCCCCCTGGTACTCTGAGGCGATGTCCTTCACGACGTTGTCGTTCGACATCCCCGCGACCAGCTGCTTCAAGCCGCTCTCGTCCAGCTTCGAGACCACTGGCAAGCCCGCGGCCAGCAGTGAGCAGCACGATGTCTTGCTCTTCATGGTGGGCAGCAAGGTCATCAAGATGCCAAGGCAGAGCTGCGGCCTGGTCCACCCGAACACCTTGAGCACCAGGGCGTTGTCCTTCCAGAGCTGGTGGAGCTTCACCGCATGGCCAACGGCCTTGAAGTCGACCGATTCCTCGCCCAGGGGGGCGAGCACCCGACTGCGCCGCTGGCCCGCGGGGCCCGATGCCAAAGATGTTTAAAACACCATCCAAAAACACAGCAAACCTTCGATCGATTTTTAAACCAAATTGGACGCATTGGATGCTCTGCCTCCCGCAATCCTGGCACAGAGCGTTGTACGCATCCCACAGGCTCACCTGGTTCTGGCGGTTGGGCATCATGATCTTCTTGGCGTCGCGGTAGAAGCCCCAGCACTTCTCGAACTGACTGATGGTCGGCCATCTGCCTTTGAACAGCCCATTGAGGTGCTTGACTTTTTCCGCCTCGTAAGCCCCCTGGCCCAAGGACTTGACTGTCCAGTTCTTCCCGTCAGCGTAGCGCGTCCATGACGACTGGGCTTGGTTCGTGGACCTGTACATCTGTAGAAAGGTCGTGGCCTGGGTTTCCTCGTTAACTTCGTTCCCGAGCCCGACTAGGAAACGGATCCCCCATGACGGCGTGTCGTGGCGATACACCTTGCAGTGCGCCAGCCCCTCGCGCATGGAGCGCTGCACGTTCACGTTGGAGGCGTTCTTGGGGTCCTTGTACGCCTCCCCCCCGCCTTCCATGACGGTGGCGAAGTGCATCCAATAGTACTTGGTGTCGGGCTTGAGCTGCAACGTATTCTCTTGCGGTCGGACCCAGGCGCCAGCCCAAATGTCTGAATACAACCCGTGCTCCTCCCAGCTCCGCTTCTTGTCCATGATCGACGACTCGCCCCCCCTATCGTTCAGCTCCTCCCGATCGTGGAGCCACGCCCCATCGTGCACGAACTTGAGGGCGACGTCCCCAGCAATCAGCCACATGAGGTCGGCGGCGCGCTGCAGCTCAGCCCCCTGGAGTTCGGGGATCAGGTCGTGGATCGTGGCGAACTCCTCGCTGAACCTTTTCTCCACGGGGATCCTCGCCACCACGTCCTCGGCCAGCAACTCTTCGCCACCGACGGCGGGCGCGCCCGCCACGGGCGCGAGCGAGGCGGCTGCCATGGTCCTGAACTCGGTCGCCCTTGCCGCGAACGAGGCGCCTCGGGCGCAACTCTGCGCCCACGAATCCGCTAGAGCCGATAAGATGTCGGGCCGCGTTCGTTCGCCGACTTTGTCGACTGTCGCATGTCACAGCCCGAACGGTCTCTCACTCGGTAGCTCCCGCGGAGCTGGAATCTCCTCGCCTCGCCGCCGCGATGGCCGACCTCGGGGATCCTGCATGGGCCTGCGCGGGCCCGAAACGCGCATGCATTATCTGGCTCACTCTTCATATCCGCAACGACGTTGCAGTTTATTTTTCTTTCGTACACGTTTTTTTTTACAATATGAAGCATGTTTTTGTGTTTTTTATGTGTTGGTTTGCATTTTTTTCTGTCCGCGACGGCATCGGACAGGCCTGCCGTTGACTCCATGAGTCAACGGCCCCCTCAGCCAAGGGGTCCGTTGACTCATGGAGTCAACGGCCCCTTCTGACAAGAGGTCCGTTGACTCATGGAGTCAACGCGTTGACTTCCTGAGTCAACGCGCGCGGTTGCGCGACTGAAAACTCGAGCTCAGATAACAACAATTTCGCTCCCCACTAACGAAAAAAACATCGCTGTTGATGTTTTTTTTCATTAAAGTTGGTGGTGTTGTTATGTTGCACGCTGGTGCGGCGTGTTTGTTTGCGCCGCCAGGGCGCCTGCTAGACGAGCACCCAATCGCTCGAGCTACCATTCGGGCGGGCGGGGGAACATAACTCTGACGCTGGGCCGTCGACTCTCGGCGATGCGCAGCCCAGAATCACGCGCAACTGATGCGCTCAGAATAATGCCGACTGGAATCGCTCGCAATGGCGAGGGCCAAGCACTCGGACGATTCGCGACACCCCCGACCCACGCGACACGCCATCCGCCATGCTGGTGTTGCCCCGATCGAACTCGCCAACATGTTCAGTCGCGCGTGGCGGCTGCGAACAGACAGGGGCGTGACAAAGCCCGATCTAGTGGCTGCACGGCCACTGCCGTGCCAGGGGGGGGGCAATCACGGGCCACGTCGGTCCGGAGTGCCAGGAGGCCGCGCCGACCGCCGAGCCTTCGCGGCGATCCCTCACTTGGACCCCTGCCGCTTGATGGACCTGAGCCCCTCGGAGTTCTGCTCGAAGGCCTGCGGGAGCGGCGCGGGCGGCAAGGCGAGAAGGGCGGGGCGCAGTGGGCGGAGTGGGCGGGGTGGGCCAGTGCACGGGCAAGGGACTGGCCAGCAGGATCAGCAGCAATAGCACGGGCAAGCAAGCCGCCTTGCGCTTCCTCTCGAGCTTCCCCAAGCGCTCGGCCAGCACCTCGCTCTCGCTGGGCGCCGCCGCGAGGGTCGAGCCGTCGGCGCCGCCGTCGCTGCCCTTGCCAGCCGTGCCCACCTGGTCCGTGCTGCTCCCCGACTTGGCCGCGCCGCCGCTGCTCTCGATGCTCTCGACACGGGCCGCGCCGCCGATGGTTCTCCCCTCCACGTCAGGGCACTCAGGGCTGGCCTCGAAGATTGCTGGATCAAGCCCGAACTGGGACCCAGTCGCGCCCCCCCATGGATCGCATTGCTCTGGCATGTCGCCCAACGTGGCCGCGGCGCAGGAACTCATCTCAACCTACGAGGGCTCACCGCGGAGCCAATCGGCGGGTCCGACAGTGGGATGTAGACGAGAAGGTTAGCTCGGCCCAAAGCGGCCGCGATGCACGGGGCAGGGGGGCTGGAGGGAAGGAGGCTGGAGGGGCGGCGGGAGCCCAAGAACCAAACCCCACAGCCCCACATCCCCCGAGAGCCTCAAAGGGGCCCAAGAGGCCTCCATATTGCCAACGACTCTGAGGCCGCACGCTTGCCAAAGACCCGAGAGAACCCCGCGGGGGCCCAGGAGCGCCCCAGACGCTGTGCCAGCCGTTAGGTCGACTGAGCCCGACTGCCTGACGCTACAGGCTCTAGTGTTGTCGTCGTCGTCGTCATCGTCCGTCGCTCCCCACGGACATGCATATACATGCACATGTGTATGTGTATTTGACACACACATATATATATATATATATATATATATATATATATATCATCTGGGCTTCTCTGACATGGGCTGATATCGTTTCTACCTAGTACCTCCGATGTGCTGTCGGCACCCTGATGCGCTCATTTACTGATCACAACGCGCCGAGACACGCGGCGCATCTGAATCCGTCCTCACCATCAGCCATGCCGATGTTCCCGTCCGATCTAGCGAGTGCCTGCTGGTGGCATTGATCATGCCAGTAACCTAAACACAAGCAACACTGAAACACATCAACAGCGACGGCATCGCCAAGTAAGTGGTCGGCTACATGGGCCGCGGCCCTCTCACACGCGAGGCATTTCTCATCATCAAGGGGCCCTGGGTGCAAAGCGGCCTCGAAGGCATCCCGCAGAGCGACGACGAAATCAGGCAAGACCGCCCTCTCCCCCTGCGTGGCCTTGGCAAGCGTTTCCCCAATGTCCCCCACCACGACCTCCGCGCCTGCAAAGCTGCGCGGAGGGAGCAACTGATAGATTATCCTGTTTCTATCATCGATCCGCAGTGGCCGAC